AGCAGAAATGGTGCGATTTACAATGGACGCAGACAAAATGATAATAACAAGTTTTTGCTTTCTGCATCATCTTTAAAGCTCAGCAAATCATTCAATGAATTAATTATTTTTTTTATTTCTAGCAATATAGTTACATATAACAAATGCAATAAGAAGAATTTGATTTTTGACAACATAAATCAGTCAATTGCTCGAAACGAAGTGTAAAGAAGTCAGAATTTAGACCCACCCCGGACTGGCCAGCCCATTCTCACCCCCAAGGCGTCACCTAACTGACGTTTTTTGAAGCATTTTGACCATGCTTCAATATCTGACGCTTTAGGCGCCCTTTAGCGTCAGTTAGTTGACGCCCTAGGATCGCGTGTAACCCTACCCCCACCCCAGACCTAAACCTAACCGCGTCATCTAACTGACGCTTTCCTTTAGCGTCAGTTAGATGACGCCGTAGAATCGCGTCATGTAACTGACGCTAAAGGGCGCCTAAAGCATCAAATATTGAAGCATGGTCAAAGGTGACACCTAGGGGTGAGAATGCGTTGCTCTTAAGGAGGAGAAAAAAAGAGGAGAGGACTTGTTACAGCCTGTAGCCGACAAATCTGCAGCAGCAACTGCGTGATGCTATGTTAATGGCCCAAAATCTCTGAGGAATGTTGTTAACATCTTGTTGAATCTATGCCACAAAGAATTAAGGCAGTTCTGAAGGCACAATGGTGTCCAACCCAGTTCTAGCAATGTGTGCCTAATAAAGTGGCTGGTGAGTCTATACAATACAAGCCTGTTTTCAATCTACTATGATTTGGGATGCACTAACTGTATTATTGCATATTTAAGACAGTTTGTCTTCAATTGGGATGCCGCAGTATAAATGACTGTATGTGTTTAGTGTGTCTGTCTGGATGTGTGAGAAATGCTTGTAAGCTTCTATTTTCACTTCATGCTACAAAGTGTGAATCAAAGGGAAATGAAACCTACAGACATATTTCACATCACAAGCTCGAGCACTCTCACACATACATCATGACTCACCTCCACTGAAACAGAGACACTGTAGAAAGGTAACATTCATCATCAGTAAATCCAAAGAAGGTCAAGTGGCACTGATGGAGCTTTGAAGACACACACACACACACACACACACACACACAGAGAGAGAGAGAGAGAGAGAGAGAGAGATAATCACTCCTATAGTGCAGACTGCTGTTAAATCATTGTCTGTCTGTCTGTCTGTCTCTCTCTCTCTCTCTCTCTCTCTCTCTCTCTCTCTCTCTCTCTCTCAGTTCAATTCAATTCAATTCAATTCAATTGAGCTTTATTGGCATGACTGTAAAATAGCACAATATTGCCAAAGCAATAGTAATATATAAACATATATGTAGATAAATAAAAGAGAAAAAAATAAAAAATAAAAAATAAATAAATAAATAAATAAAATAAACAACAACAATAAAAAAACATTTCCATGTTATGCATAAATATACCACAATAGATTAAAAAAAATATATATACAATAAGTACAGAGAGCAGTTTAATGGAAAAGAGGGTTCATCCCTTCTCCCTCATATGATGGCAGGAGGACACGTACTGCGCTGCCAGGTGAATACACTCTTCTTTTTCTCCCAAAATATAAGACAGTTTGTTTATGGGGCTCACTTGTTGGAACTGAGGTACAATCTGTGCTATTTGTGTGAAATAAGCGTCTCTGATGTTTTTATACTTGCTGCACTCGGTGAGGAAGTGCAGCTTGTCCTCTACGGCCCCATCAGGGCAGTGCGGACACACTCGGAGCTCTCTCTCTCTCCAGCTCTGCTTGTGTCGGCCCGTCTCCACACACAGACTGTGGTCACTAATGCGATACTTAGTTAGGAGCTTTCTCTGACCATAGTTACTGATATCAGTCAGGTATGGAGCCAATTTATAATCTGACTTTATTTTGTTGAAATATTTTAGTTTATTTAGTTGTGTGACCTTTATCTGCCAATCGTGTATGTATTCTTCTTTGGTTATTTTCCCTATTTCTTTTACTTTTGAGTGTCTGAATTGAATTGATGAGTTGAGTTGGTGTTTTTCCACTAAATGTATCATGGGGTCGCCCTCAGTGAGTCCTGCCCTGTATCTGAGAGCGCAGTGATGGTAACTCTCTGTCTGCGCGTCTGAGAGATGGAACCAGAACTTTACGGCTCTCTTCTGGATCTCCGATAGGAGAGGGAATCTGCCCAGTTCTGCCCGGCACCCCAGACTGGGAGCGTTTCTGTGAGTTCCCAGGATGTTTTTGCAGAACTCGAGGTGGAAAATTTCAGCCGGGGTTTTGTCCCAGGTTTCGTAATTTAGTTTAAATTTGGGCCCCCAGATTTCACAGCCATAAAGAAGGATGGGTTTGATGATGCTGTCGAAGATTTTCAGCCACAGTTTGATGGGTGGGTTATATTTGAACAGGGGTTTTCTTATACTGTAATAAGCCCTACGTGCTTTATCAGTCAGATCTTTTATTGCAGTGTCAAATTTTCCAGAAAAAAATCTCTCTCTCTCTCTCTCTCTCTCTCTCTCTCTCTCTCTCTCTCTCTCTGTGTGTGTGTGTGTTTGTCTGTGTGAGTGGCCAGGTAAACCCTACATTATGGGGAAAAATTTCCCCACAAAGATGGAAATATCTGAAATCCAAGCTTGTCCTTGTGGGGACTTTTTGGCCCCAATGAGGAAAACAGCTTTTAAATTAACTAGCAGTGTCAATTAAATAAAAATAAAATAAACAATTTAATAAATAAATAAATTATTATCATAATTAACATTACAATATTGAAATTCTGTATTCAATTCCAATTGTTTATGTTATGAAAATAAGATTGCTTTAAATTATTCACAAAGCCACAAATTACAATTTCTCAGCAATTTCTAACCAATAAAATTTTGACTGCCCCCTAGTGGGTCCCGGACCCCTGGTTAAACATTGACTTCATTACTTATAACTATACAATGTCAAGAAAATGAGCAGGAAGAAAATAAAGAGTTAAAGTTTTGTTTTTGTTTTTTTTTTCAGTGAGGAGTTACTGTAGCTTATGTTATTGACACAAAACACACAATTGTATAATTTTTAACCATCTTTCGAAAATGTTATACAAAAGACCAACAGGATGGAGTTATACTAAAGACTCTAAAGAACTGATTAAAACAAGATTAATATTAATTAAATTAAAGAAAGTAGAGGGGACATAGCAAACAACATTGCCTAAACTATAGTAATTAAATAAATAATATATATAAAATCTTTTTTTGTAAAATAAAAATGAATTTTAATACTGTGATCAACGAAAAAACAAATATGATTTCCATGTTAAAAACTGTGAATTTAAAAATATTGTGCGTGTGTGCGCGCGAGCGTACATGTGTGTGTGTGTGGCTTCAGCTGGTGTGGAATAGTTATGTCCTGATAGCCAGAGAAAGAGAAGAAAAAACAGCTTCACGCAGAGAGAGAAAGAGAGACAGATATACAGTGTGCATGTGAGTGAAAACACAGGGCTAAAGATCCTGAGCGGAATCTATTAGTGTAAAAGCTCTGAGGATGACAGACAAATGGCTTGGTTAGTCGATACTGGCAGCAGTAGTGTCTCCTGTCTGTTTTTTATTTCTTTTTAAACAGAGATCACAACCAGATCATTTGTCTTTCTCTCTCACATCATCTCTGTCTCAAATAAAAACAAACCAAATGATATACCATCATGGCTTTGAAGGCAAAAATGCAAGAAAAAATACTAAAAAGACATTATTCTGTTATTGAGGGAAGTGTTTGCAATATAGGCTAAGCACTAAAACAATCATGACATCCAAAAGTATCCAAAAAAAAAACTTCTAGAGAAGCAATGAATGATGATTTCAAATCTCTTTTTGCATTGCACACTGGGTACAGTGGGGAATTACATATACGCATCTCATTTGCATACATAAATTAATCTTTTTATCCATTTGAGTGAGTCTCAATTGAACCTCAGTTCAAAACAATTTCATGCACGAGAAGTTTAGCATGGTGACCACACAAGACAGACAAGCTCACAAACAAACCACAAGCACTCATTCAGTCCAACTTAAACATTATGAAAATACTTTACCAACTTAAAAGTCGAGTCAAACAACTGGCTAAAACAGTGGTTCCTCATGAATCTTTGTACAAAACCCATTACAAAGTTCATAGTGAATCTTGTATTTAGTCCTCTGCAAAAGGTTGTTTTCTGGAACATTATATGTACAAAATATTTTCCATAGATCCATTTTTATCATGACCCCATGGTTTGCTGTTTTTTTTTTTTTGTTGTTGTTTTTTTTTGGTCTGTTTCCTGGTTACAATCGAGAGTTAATCTGGAAAGCCAGCTTGCTTCATATATCATGTTCTATCATGTTAAATTCATCTTAAAATTAAGTTTAATAATTGGTGATTTTTCAAAAGACAATGCAAATCTATTTGTTTCTCATATGTGATGTGTATTTTCTCTTTGAGTCCATGAGGGGGCGATAAAGATTAAAGGGGAGCTCATTAACACTAACTGAAATTCAAATAAAGGCGCATTTATCTGCTCACCTTTGCCATGCCACTACAAATGTCTAGACAGCATTAGAAACATACTCACTCGATTACATTAGAGCAATACGTACATTCGAGGAACAATATTGTGGCAGGTATAATAATATAATAATACCATTATCAATATTTTGTTTTTATAAAGATTGCTTACATTGCAGACGTCTAAAATCCAGCCATTAATATACGGTCTCAGAAAAAAATTGCCTTCACAAAGAAGGTATGTAATCATAGATTTGGATTCAAAAATCAAATAAAATGTGCTGAAATCACTACAATAAACTGCACATAAAACAAACAACCGTAGACAAAGACACTGAACCGATGCTTCCTTAGCTCCTCCTCCTGTCGCCTAACATCCAATCCGAATGGAGCATTCTGGACCGTGATCTCTGCCTATTGGCTGAAAGATCTGTCAGTATGACAGTAGTCGATATTTTCGGCCGGGACAGTAACACGGCCACCCAGCAGTGAAAGTGAGAAATAACTCCGTAAACTGGGATAACTGTGATCGCGAGAACTGATGAGCGAACAAAAACACATATGAAGGTAATACAATTAATATTTCTGGAATTATGACTTAATAGGGAAAGGGTGGAGGGTGTGAATGTGATCTTTAGAGCATGCTGGTGTGGAAGAGTGAATCTCAGATCCCAGTGCTGATTTCCAATACATTATCTCGCTATTATCATAACATCTGAACATCGGTTTTAAATGATAAACATTATTTCTGCTGCACACAATGTTCTATCGTACTCATGCACGTAAGTTACGTTAAGTCTCTCGCAGATTTTTTTTCTTGTTATGAATTTGGATATACCATAGAGAATTGGTTGTATGATCTTTATAGTATGTCCATTAAATGCTAAGTAGCACAAAAAGTATTTTGTCCCTGTTTCTGTTTTTCCCGGTCTGATGTCACACGTCGTTGCTTCAAATGTTTGAGAAGTGCACTGATTGCTTGTTTAGCAGTATGTGAAATTGTACATATGTCCATCGTGATTTTTTTAAACCCTGAAAGGAAAGCATTGTGTCCCGCTGGAAATCTGATATCCATCGCAGCAGTGCATTTTGCTGAACAGTGCTTGAATTTATGGCTCTTGTTCCTAATCACGCAGCTTATAAAAGATTAACCACAAACTGTTTGTTAAGACATGTGACAAAACCTCACCTGCCATTATTTTCCAAAACAACAATATTTCCACTTTGAATATATATATATATGTATATATATATAAATCTACTTATTGGTTTTCTCTTTATTTCAATTCTTTTTATTTAATATAAAAACAACAGGTAAAGTAAAACATTAACGTAAGAGAAATAGGCTATAAGTAAATAGCTATATTTAAATATATTGTATTTATATTTATATAAATATATTTTTAGATACATGTTTTTATTATTATTATATATATATACACACATATTATATTTAAGATTTCACACTGTCAGATATTTATGAAAACATTTATAAACTTGTAGTTTCTGTACATCAATAGGCTATTCATCCTCGTTCCATATTTCACCTGCTGTTTTCAACAAGCTCACAATAGACTATGACTTGTTTTTTGTTTTGTTTTTTTCCCTAAATTTCATTTTTTATAATCTTAAGCAGTTGTTTTGAAAATGTCACGATTTTGTTATTTTCCAATTGTGAAGAAATTGTTTGGGATTTTTAGATAATCACTCATTTAAGTATAAGTATTTATGCCAGAACACCAGAAAAAAAATTAACTGCATTTAGCGAAATTTGAAATATTTAAAATATATTTGATAGTGCATGTTTATCCTTGATCCTGATTGAAAAAAAAAACAAAAAAAAACCTGTGTGGATGATGTAACTCATAAAATGTTGTGTTTGTAATAATTTGTAGCTATCAAATTTATTTGCCAAAGATTTGGACACATTTGGTAAATTTGTTACTCTGAATGAGATCTCTCAGTTTTATTTGTGTTCTTTTGAATCAAACAAGCAGTGATTTTAAAGAGCAGAGATGTAAGTGTTTGTCAGTGGGTGAAGGGCAAAAATGTGGTCTAGCCTGTATGCAGTGAAATGCTCTGTTTTGACTGGCATGTCAGAATCAGTCACTTGAGAGCTGGGTTGAAGTGCTCTTATTGGGTCAGGACGTAATTACACCAAATAAGAGCGTGCCTCGTTTTGCAGATTCTCCTCTAGTTCTAATGTATCTAGTTAATGGACCGTTTTCTTTCCATTTCAATTTGTGAATAAATGTGGGCCATAACATCCTGGATTGAAGATTTTAGCTGTATATAGATAAAGAGATGCACTGGAGAAAAAAACAACCTCTCAAGCAATGATGTCAATGACAGTCTGAAGCCGTGGGTTGCCACCTTAGTAACCACTGGGTGGTTTGTTTGAGTCCCGCTCTGTACAAATTTAGTTCTAAACCACAAATCCACAGCAATGAGGAAGTTATGCTGAGTGAAAATCAAAGCGTTTCAGCACAGCTTGACTTCTTAGCCTGGGAAAAGGGTTGAGTTTAGGGTTTAGGATATAGTGACCTCATTAGAGGAGGGTGAACAGGTCAGGTTTACCAACGTGCCAAATCACCGCATGTTGCGTTTATACAAGTGTTATGCAATCCTGAAATCATTCAGCATGGTGTTATTTTGTTCAGAATCAGAGTCTTGAATTAGGAAAGTTGTATCGTGACAGAAGATGCTGGATCTGCTGTTAATATAGTGGAGATGCATTAGTATGCATCACAGTCTCGTCTGGAATCTCTTTCTGTTAATATTTGATTAATTTGTGTGTGGGGTGTGAATTCCTGGAATTCTTTTCAGTCTCTGTAATCCATATAGGGTTTCTCTATATTTCCCCTCTCACACTCTTTGTGGCTGTGTAGAGATTGCGTTTTGTTGCCAGATAAAAGTTTTACTGGGCTTGTGCTGGTTTAATATGGGGTTACGCATGTAACGCATCAGAGTGGCGGCAGAAACCACACTCCCTTCTGACACATGTCCCGCTCCCTCATTACTGATGATTCATTAAGTAAGCTGACATTAGTCTGATGTTTCTTTTAAGGCTTGCCCTCAGCAGCTGTGGGTTAAGTCGGAGGTTTAACGAGTTGTCAGAGAGAAGAGAAAAGGTCTGTCTTCCTACTTCTTGCATAAGAAAGGAATAATTCAACCAAAAATATAAAATATAACTATCATGTCTTTCCAACCCTGTATGACTTTCTTTCTTTTCTTTCTTCTGTGGAACATAAAATGAGACATTTTGAAGATCTTCATTACCTCTTTACCTCATTTATTCGAATCTTTTAAATGATGAACATTTCATATCAGTTGTCTGTCAGGAGATCATTATTTGTCACCTCACAATTTGTGTGTGAATGTTGTAGTGATTCAAAGATTTATTGGCTTTAACCAAGTTGGTGTGCATATGTTTTTGGCTGCAGAGCCTGTAACTTTTTCTATTACACACTCTCTTGCTCCCTCATAACTTTATTATTCTCTGTGAAACATTGTACATAAATAGTCTTGTTTTTCTCTGTGACTGTTGCTGATTTTGCATGGTCAGGACTCAGGATTTGTGTACTTATTTAATTTGTAACATTATCAAGGTCAGTGTGTGGCTCTTCGTTGTTGTGCGCAGAATCTTTTAAATGAATCATTTGATCTAGTTAACACAACTTGTCTAAATAATTTGTTCACAAATCGGACTGATCTGGACTGGTTCTCATGAATAAAGTAATGGCTTAAATTTCAGTCTGGTTTCCCTATGTCAGATCTTGGCTGTCGTAGCTGAAATGAATCATCTCGCCTCTTTCTAATTGCTGTAGTTTAAAGTTATGTTTCCTTTTTCTGGAATCCAGTTCGTGGTCAAATGTGCTATTTGTGTTATTGTTATTTACAGCCTATAGTGTCAGAGGTTGCCTACACATAACAGCCACAGTGTCATGTGGGGCGAACGGGGGTAGTTTTACTCACCAATTGCTCTAGTATACTATAGATAAGACATAATAATAATAAAAAAAAACTTTTTAACAGTAGTTTAGTTCAAATTATGGACATGACGTGTTAGTCTGGTGGTAGCCTTGATAGCCGGTGATCAGGAATTTTTGTGTTTGTGTGGATTTTTGTGTTAAACTTAAACCCGTTTTGACTTGTGAGTAAGTGATCTGTGCTCCCATGTTTTAGTCGTGCTTACACACACACACACACACACACACACACAAAAAAACGCTTACACAATTATTTTGTTTTTAAGTCTTAATCATGCAATTAAAATCAAATTGAGTGTTTTTTTAATAAATCACCGAATTTGATCAATTTCTCTGAAGGGAATGGGATAGATCCACACTCAGTTTGAATGTGTAATGCTTCAGATGTTTTTGCCGTTTGTGACAATATTTCCTTAGTACCCATACTGTATTAAAAATACTTTCAATATTTTCAAGTCAAGATCTGTTCGCTATGGAAGCTTGTTTCCGGCGCCACTGAATATAAAAATAAAATAAATAATTGTGACTTTTTATCTCACAATTCTGACTTTTTTCTCACAATTGCGAGTTTATATCTCGCAATTCTGACTTTTTTTCTCAGAATTGTGAGATATAAAGTCAGAATTGCTAGATAAGTCGCAATTCTGAGAAAAAAAGACAGAAGTGCGACTTTTTATCTCACAATTCTGACTTTTTCTCTCTCAATTGCGAGTTTACATCTCGCAATTCTGACTTTATAACACATAATTGCGAGTTTATATGTAAAAATTCTGACATCTTTTCTCAGAATTGTGAGCTATAAACTCGTAATTGCGACTTATCAGGCCAATTCTGACTTTATATCTCGCAATTCTGACTTCGGGAAGTCAGAATTGCAAGAAGTAAACTCGCAATTGTGAGAAAAAAAGTCAGAATTGTGAGATAAAAAGTCTCAATTACCTTTTATATTTTTCATTCTATGGCGGAAACAAGCTTCCATAGTTCGCTTGAGCTTGTTAGCTCAGCGTTTCAATCCTCTCTTGACATACTATGTCTGTCAAACTCTCACACAAACAATATAGCCAAGTGTGTGGTTTTTACAGGATCTTTTGAGAGGAAATGAATGAAAGCAGGATGCACATCTGATCTGCACTGATAGTGTTTTTACCGGATACAGTATGATGAAGATTCTTTCGGGAATATTGATGCAGTCTGTTTCCTCCTATTTATATCGAATGAATGTAAATAATGGGTTAACTGACACACAAGCTGAAAATATGATTTTGTGGTTTTTGTGTATTAATTTGCATGTGATTTTATATAGAGATTTATCAAAGCATTAGTCATTGATGTCATATAAATAAACATGGAACTCTTAAGCAAACAACTGAGTTTCTGTATCCATGTTTAACGCAAATAGTAGGTATGGGCGTATCAAATCAGTGTGTAAGCAGACACACACAAGCACTCTCCGGCTGGATCACTGACAGCTTTATCGTTGAGTCATCAAGGTGCATTCCAGATTTAACACGCATTCTGGTCCTATGAACTGGCTCACATCCGCAGTGTGTTAGTAATGTCTGGATGACATCATTGCCCTGAGATTATATTAAGTCTTCTCAAGCTGTGTGACTTTCTTTTCAATAGAAGGAAAAGAATAACATACTTGTTGCAGCCACCCTAGTAACACATTAACATTGGGCCAAAATGAATCATATCAGGAAGTGATCTCATTAGATTGTCTTAGGAGGAAAAACCCCTAAGAAAGCCAACTTTACTGAGAAAACCACCTTACTTAAGAGTCAGATCTAGGTTCTTGATTTTAGGATTGATTTGATTGAGAAAGTTCTTGTGATAAGTTTTGTCATTTCATAAAAATGAAATGTGTGATTCATGCTAGTAAGCTATCCCTTCTAGCATATCATATACATTTATTTCAGATACTTTCCCTCAAATTTCACAATTTTCTCACAATTTCCTCAAAAAATATAAAAGGGATAGTTCACCCAAAAATATAAATTCCGTCATCATTTACTCATTGACTTCTGTAGTTTTTTTCTTCTTCCCCATACTATAGAAGTCAATGGGATCCATCAACTGTATGTTTAGTGACTTTTTAATAAAAAAAACAAAATCTTACCTATTATTTATGTGTTATGACAAATAATTGATGATGAACTTTAAATTATTGGGGAGAAAAATGCTAATAAATCCACAATGTGAAGCTGTCCATCATTAATAATACCACCATTATGACATTAATAACCACTTTTATCTTTTATCCCTAAAACGCTCTTGTGTAAGGAACGATATATATCTAGGAGCATACATCCGGGAAGAATGTGGCAAAATTATGCTGCAGGTGTAATGTGGTTGTCAAACCTGGGAGTAATTCCTTTCTGTGTAGTTATGAAAATGAATCTACACAACTCTGGAATAAGTCAACCAATCAGCATTAAGCAATTAACAATACTGCTGGATTAAGTAACTTTGATTATGATGGTGTGCAGCTGTGGGTTAGGGGAGTAATTACAGAATGAACATAATTAGAAAGATATTTTATAAATCAGCGACCACACAGATTGTGTTTGGGTGTTTGCTGGGCTTCCCTCTGTTCTTGTGTGTGTGTGTGTTAATAGACTGAGGGAATCTGTTACAGTACAGCAGTTGAGCTTGATCACTGGAGACCTCTGTGCTGATATGCTAATAGCTTCCTGCATTTATGTGGTCTGACAGAGAGCCAGGCCACAATGCAAAGATGCTGAACACTGCTGTGTGTGTTTTAATGTCCATGAATGCCTGACTCACACAAATGTCATTTCAGATCAAGAGTCATTTGCTGATAAAATGCATGGAACATTATTGCATTTCTAGGCCAGAAAAATTGATCTGTGTGTGTGGTATGATCCCGTTTCATTGGTCTAAGTACAGTTGTGTCATACATGACCTGCTAAAACATGTGTTGAGTTGTATGGCCAAGCCTGTTGTTTTGCTTCAGGACTCAGACATTGAATTCATCTGTGTGTTTCAGGGCAGCAGGATGAATGTGGAGACTCTCAGTAAAACTGAACTTCTGATGCTGCTCAGCATTCTGGAAGGAGAACTGGAAGCACAGGATGTAGTCATACACTCATTCAGGGTAAGAGCACACACACACATACACTCAATGCGAAGCGTGTCACCACTTGCGTCACCACTTGGAAATGGAAAAATAACCAGAGCAAATTTTGACAAGACAAATTATGATGTTGGCTTGACAAAGACTTGTCTGAATGTTTAAAATACTTTTAAAGGCTTTAAAATTGGCAGCCAGACAGTCAAAGTCAGAAAGACCAATGGAAATTTCTTCTCTTGCTTGCTTCCTAATATGGTTGTCTAATGAACATGGTATTGTATATAATGATTATTTTTGGCTTTTTTTGACCAAATGTTTTATTTCCTCTCTTTTGTAAGTCGCTTTGGACAAAAGCGTCTACTAAATGCAAATGTAAACATGTTTTTAAGCATGTTTTAACTATGTTTTATTTTTTATTTTATTTTGCTAGGTATTGATAACATATTTTAGTACCCTGGGAAAACCCAGACAACTTCCAGCAAATTTAGATTTGCTCTGAAAGTTAGTCTGGCAAAGAACTTATTCAAGCCCATTTTCAATCCGTCGAAATCGAGGCACCAATCAGAAACGTTGGGGCGGGCTTTACACGATGACGACAGTGCTGGGATTTTGAATTTCGTAGCCTACATTACAAAGATGGATGCCGCCGTCGAACATCACTCATTCGAATCAGCTATCGTGTCTGTTTTAAGCGATTTGAATAGTTACAACTGATAATGGTCTGGTTTTAACCAGGCTAATATTTGAGCACATTGCTAGCATTTGCCCTACCTACAAACAGATAGCAACATTGACTCAACCATAACATAAATTTGGGATGGAGGCAGAGCTCTTTGGGTCGAGAATGTGTTTTTATAGCACCAAAGGGCTGTAACATGTTTAACATGCTGCCTATTCTTAGCTCTGTATGTGTATAGATTTGTGTTATGTAACAGGCAGTATATGATCAGTGTTTGGTGTGGACTGGTGGTCAGGAACCACAGGAAGTGTGTAGAGGGGGTACTCAGGAAAGAGGCAGAGAGGAGAACAATGGAAGGCAGTGCTATTCCTGTAAAACACACACACACACACACACACAGATTGTTTCACTGCAGCTTCACAATAGTAACAAATTTATATTCTGCTATAAAGCAGCTCTAACAAGTCAAAAATGTCATTATTTAACTCAAGTCAGTTCATTATTGATTAAGATCAGTTCCATAACTGTGTCAAATTTATCAATTGTGCATACATACAGTACTCTATATATGATGTATTTGTTCACATACATGTGACAAACTCCTGTACACCCAACTGCACACTGAACAAGCAAAAGACACAATATAGTAGTGTTTTACAGTGTTTGCCGTGTATGTAGCTAATCATTTTATGTTTGTGTGTAGAGTTAGAGTTAGCACAATGCCCATATTTCTTTATCATTACTCCATCTTCCATTTCATTTTATGCTTTGATAAGCACGCAAATTAAATCTGCTGTGCTCAATTGAGTCTTTACTCCTCAAAACTAGAACAAATCTAGTTCATTTTGGTGTGTACTCAAACTGACACACAACAGAAGCATACGGTGTTCCCTCTAGATATATATAGTCTGTGTGTTTTAATAGGCCTGTAATTATTCTGTCTGATGCTTTAGTGAAAGAGTTAACTTAGTGTTAATAACAGAGAACAGCAGCTTCTTATGAGCTCAGGGGTGTGTGTGGGAAAGATGGAAACATGAGACGAGGGGTCTGGTGTCTCACTGTGACCTGCTGATCAACTGCTGACTGTTTGCAGTGGACTCTGAGATTAGTTTGTGACTTTGAATGGAGCACAGAGAAAAGCTCAATTCATCTGTTGCGTTTGGTGATATCATGTGTGTGTGCATTCACATTACACACGTATTTGTATTTTTTAAAGGTTTTCACTGTCTTTCACATACATCTTATACATGCGAACTGGCTTTTTTTTACACAAATCTGATTTGATTTTCATATTCAATCTTTAGGTCATTAAAGGTCATTATTCACTACATACACAAAATAACTAAACAGAATTGAGGCGACTTTTTTAATACAGATTTTTGCTTCCTGTCTGCACAAAGCCTTGGTGTTTGTGACTCTCTTTCTTTTAGGCTTAGGCCTCTTTTACTGTTCAGCCCTAGGCAAGATGCTAAGTGTGTGTGTGTGTGTGTGTGTCTTCAACTTCAGCTTCATTTGGCTTGCTTTCTGGCCAGTGAGGGCTTTATTCACAGAGGGAATGAGAGGCCCTTGGGGCTCTTGAGTCTTTGATCAATGTTACGTTGTGTGCATGTATGTGTGTGTGTGTCACTTCACTGCTCTCAGAAAGTTCTGTCCAGGCAGTGGTGAAGCAGTGAAGATTTTTTGGAAGCAGTTCGATGTTTTGGAAGCCTCCACATCAGCTGTATTGCTCCAGAAACAGCAGCGCACTTTTTGCTCCTCCTTTTGAGTTATTTTCCCATGGCTCATTCTGATGTAATACAGGAGCCAATATCCCGAGGGCTGGTGGTTAAAACAAAAAAACGACCGTTAATTTGACTCACTCGCCGTTTCATCATCTAAGCCGTATAAAGAAAGATCAGGTCTGTTCACAGGTCTCTGAAAGGGGAATTTCATGAATAGGGAATTCCAATGCTAAAATCACAGTCCAGACAGACTAAACAAACCAGTTTATTTTGTCCTAATAGGGAGGATGTCAAACCCAGTGTTTTACCTTATAAATGTGTCATTTCCACAAGACCCAGTGGGGTTCTTTGCTCTTCTGAGCTGCTGGAGTGTGTGTCTGTGTGTTGATTAGAGGGGTGCAAGATTCCTTCTGTGTGAACTTCCTTCCAGGATGTGTCCTGATTCCTCTCTGCCGACAGTAGTAAGCACCTCAGATCAGCAAGAGCTTGATTAAAAACAGCAGCAGCACAAACAGCATCCTACTCTGTCCTGCACAGTCAATACTAATCACTCACACATATACACACAATAATAAGTCAATAAATTAATTATAAAATAATGAATTATGCTGCATTTTGCGATCCTACAGTGAGGGAATACCCAAATGCCCCTGCTGTTAAACTTAGATAAGCTTTTAGCTCTAAATAACAATTAATCCCTTCAAAATCTGCCTACTGTTTCCGATAGAAATGAACTGTGCTGACTCAATTAATCTTTGTGATTCTGCTCCATAAAACCATTGTTATATCACAGGAAGTTCCTAAAACTGTGTTTACGTGCAGTGTTATTATGGTAAAGGGTAGTACTGTAAGCAAGGCAACTATGCCAGTAATTTACTGTAATTGTACAAAGAAAAGCAGTGAAATGAGGAACTAATGTACAGACTTAACGTCTTAAGAGACTGCAATGGCTAAATATAGCAGCTGGATTTCTGGTGGGAAAAGCAGTCGCTAGTATGTGTAGTGCTCTCTGTCCCGGTAGACTGTTATTGTTTATGTGGGTGTTTGTCTAGTCTGCTGTGATGGATCTGAGGAGAGATAAAGTGACTTAATGGAATTTCCTTAATATACTTTTAAAATCTAATTGTAATTTATTCTTTTAATAAAAAAAGCTAAATTTTCATCATGATTACTCCAGTCTTGAGTGTCACATGATCCCTCAGAAATCATTCTGATATTCTGATTTGGTGCTTAAGAAACATTTCTTATCATTATTACAGTTGAAAACAGTTGTGCTATGTAATAGTTTTGTGGAAACCATGACACATTTTTTCATGATTCTTTTATCATTTTAAAGTTCAATAGAACAGCATTTATTTGAAATATATTTGTTTTGCAACATGTTGAATGCATTTACTTTCACATGATTAACTTCTTCACTTATAAGATTGAGAATATCAGGGGAAAAAAAAAATTAACTATGCAACCGTCTACTTTAGTATCGGACTTCAGTATCGGATCAGGGAATGCATTGTAGGCTCCCTGAAATTTTGTATTCATTTGTTGCTATAGGAGAGGAAGAATTTTGCAAACTCATCTAAATCGACAACTTGATTTCGACAACTTGAAATCGACAAATTCACACCCTCTGAAGACAAGTAGTTTGTTTAGGCATGGTTTTGTTGGGAATTACAAACCTGCACACATATATTCAAGCGCACATGACTATAGAATCAATTCTTAAAGGAGAACTCCGGCGCAAAATGAACCTTTGGTCTAATAAAACATCGGTACCTAGTCAACTGTTCTCTGAGATTTGTTTTCATGATAAACGCTAGTAATGGGGGCATTTACTAAGTAAAAAGAAATCACTAGTTTACACCACAAACAAGGCTCAAAATAGCCGCACACTAACACAGTAACATAATGAGGGTCCATGAAAAAAGAAGCATTGAGAACTTTGTAAGTGTACAGACTGTTTAATAAGAAGATATTTCATAAAGACAGGAGCCATCTTGGAAAACAGTCACAACAAGTCAAACCACAAACCTGCTGAGTGAGCTAGACTGTATGAACTTCTGAACTGTATGAACGGCGTTCGGGGATCGACTTATCGAGACTATTTTCCTAGATGGCTCCATTAATATCATTGATCAGCTCTACCAAACGTGGATGTTTTTTTCACTAAAAAACGAACATTGTTATTATGTTTTGATTGATACTGTGAAGCTGCTTTTTATGCAATCTATATTTTGAAAAGCGCTACATATAAATACTTGACTTGGATTTTGATCATCGTCATTTCTTTCAAAAATAATCCTAGAGATCCCAGACTTTTGAATGGTATTGTATATCAAAATTTTGGTTGCCAAGACAATGCTCTTTGGTTGCTGAGGTGTTCCGGCTGCTTCCTTACACTTTTGCATGGGGGTCACTTTTACATGAGTCTATTGTGTTCTCTCTTTCATTGTTTGTTTGTCTAGTCATTTTCCACTCAATTTATCATCCACCGTGCAATATTGAAGGCATAATCACTTAAAGGACACATGCTGCTGGCCCGAGAATTTTCGGTTTCTGTGGTTGCATCATAGTTTTTGTTCCCAATTCAAGCCAATGGAGTGGGACAAAAACTACAATAAAACCTGTTGGAAAGCATCTTTTCTGTGAGTATATCAGTGAACACCCCAGACCATTCGGTGAGTTTCACGTCTTTGTAAACTAAAGTTTAATGTGTTTTAGGAAGGATTGTTCCAGTTCCAAAATTATCGGGCCAGCAGTGTCCAAATTTCAATCTTAACCTTAAGTGTAAAATACAAAAACTTGTCCTTTAAAAAAATTAAAAGCAGATATTCAGCTTAACAACCTGCACAATTTCCAGTATCATTTACATCTGTTGCACAAATAGTGCAGGATGAGTTTAATACTTGATGTATTAGAGGTTTGTACAAATCCATAACCCATAGTATGAGTTATAGAAATAGCGATGTGTGCCTTTCCGCTGTCTCATCTCTTTCCTTTAGTTGTGTGTGTGTGTGTGTGTGTGTCTCTCTGATCTCTGGATAAGGTCACTTAGAGGCCAGCAGGTCCACATATTGAGGCCTCCAGGGCTGGAAATGGACTGTAATTTACTATAATGATGTGGAGTAGTAAGCAGTGCTGCTTAAGGCTGATGTTAAACAAATAATCTCTCCGACCTGGTGGTCTGAGACACACTTGACACACTCGCACAGTTTCATCATAAACATACAGTTGACTATGAATTGCTGCTCAACACAGAGAGAGTGAGAGACAGAGAGTGTTAACAACAGCCTGCATTGTGCATTTTAATGGTTATTGTGGTTATTGATGTTCACACCCAGTACATACCACACCCTCACATTCTCTGTGTTATTAAAAGACATTGAGTCCCAGACTGAATGATCAGCAGATAATAACAAGCAAAGGGCGGAAACTGAGGTCTTTTGAAGTCTGGTTGGTTAAAATGACTCTCGCATGCATTGTGATCTAGCAGATAAAAGTCGACATTTTATCTTCGCATTGCATCTACTTTCTAAATGCATCTTATTATGAGCTATTCTTTCTATTTTTATTTTACCTTTGTAATTTTTCATCAAAATGTAGAACTCAATCTCTTACCGTTGTCTGTGAGCTCTCATTCAAAAATGCCTCCATCCAATCAACAACAGATGAATACAACCAAGTGCTGATAATAATCGATAATCTGTTTGACTGGAACGTATGTCATAATACGGAGGAAATGATCAGTAAATGAACTGCTTATTCCATTTCATTGTGACTTTATAATTACATTTTATTTCATTTTATTTATAATTTATAATAATATAAATGTATAATTTTAACATCAATAAATTAATAACAAATGTAAATAAAAGTTATTTTTACTAAATCTCAAAATGAAAATGAAAAACAAATTATATCAGATATGGTCTATATATCTATTGATATATAGACAAAATCTTATGGAATTTTAATATCAAGCGATTATCATTTATCTCATCTATATATTTTGAGTAGGGCAATCAACTTGTTTAAATCAAGTAAGATTTGAAAACAGAAGAGTGTAGTGGGCATGTGTGTCACCCAGAACATAAACCACATGTCTATTCCAGTCCTTCATTCTGTGTGTATGTCTCCCATCTGCTGATCTATTTAGCAAGACCACCCCATCCCTTCTAAATTAGTCACACTGCCCCCCAGCCTCACACAAGCGCACACATGCACAATGAGTAGTGAACAACACCCCCTACAGCTGGGCCTTTTGTGCCGTGAGCCCCCTCTCCATCCCTTCAGCCCAGGGGAGGTTTAACACCTGTCCGTAGAGGAGGGGTCAGGGCTGCGATTATGTTTTATGAAAATGGATCTGATAGTGACCAGCTGTATTTGCATCACAGTGTTTAGAAATCTGCTCTCTCTCTGTCCCACATAAAAAAACAAAACACATGGCTTATATGCAAACATAATGAAAGATATTAATCAGTCATATTATGAACTTTCAATGTGTTTCAGCCTATCCAGACACCTCTGTGAAAACTACTTATTCCTAGCGTTTCGTGTTTATCTTTGACATTTATTTCAGGCACAACAGAGAGATGCATTTGTTCAGGAGCGATATGGACAGTATGACCTCCGTGACCCCTTCATAGCGCTGCTGAGGGACCGCGAGCTGACGCAGGCTCAGGATGATGGAGGGCAGAGTCCCGTGTGTCTGAACCCGCTGGGCGTGTTGAAGCTAGTGATGGCCCACTGCACCAACATGAAGGAGAAAATGATGAAACAGCTTGCCGCTGCAGAGAGGAGACATCGACGGGTGAGAGGCAGAGAGAGTCCTGAGCTACATACCTAGGCTGTATTTTTAGGACCCTATTGTTAAGGCTCTTCCAGTTTAACAACATGGTAGTGCTAAATCATCTGTTGGCATTAAAACTGTAGTGAGGAATGTCATTTCATTCACTTTGGAGGTTACACAATTGTTAGGATTCTGGGTTTGAAGGTAGATGCCTATATAGACAACAGACTAGAACTTCTTGGAACAGAGCTTGAGCGTATATTAAAAAGATGTGTGTTTTTCAGGGCTGGCTACTTACAGGACTGGTTCGTTCAGTTCTTTGAAAGTAATTTTATTTATTTCATAAACACTGTATGGAAGATTAATCTAAAATCAAACACAACTATTCTCCCTGTTATGTGCGTTGGGTGAGTCTTATTTAAAGGATCTCTGAGTAACAGGGTTTGATACTTTGAAACACAAACAAATCTGATAAAACATTCTTTATGTTCTCTCTAAAATACTTGATAAATACAAGAAATGCGTATCGGGTTCACCCAATAATGAAAGTGTATTATTTATTTTGATGTAGCAGTTAAAGGTGCTATATGTATTTTTTAGCGGCCTTTATCGGTGATGTTTCAGATTGCAACCAATTTTTGCAAACTTCTGAAGGCGAAAGGGGGTCAAACAGTATTAGTATGGTGTTCCTTTTAATCCTTTAGGTGAGTGTGTATATATATGAAAGAAAAAAGTTAACTGATAGTTATTAAAGTTTTACCATATTTATTTTTAAACTGTATAACATGTATAGACCATTTTGCAAGATGTAAACAACACTGGTCCAGAAACACTTCCTGTTTCAGTTTGTAACTGTTTTCTTTATTTCACATGTGAAGAAAACATCTTAAAGATGTTTGTTTAACTTTTTGATTCAGTTTTATATGTTCTGTTGGTTGTATTTTATCCCAGCTCTTATGTAGTGTTAAAAAACTGAAACAGGAAGTGCTTCTGGACCAGTGTTGTTTACATCTTGCAAAATGGTCTATAATTTCCAGTACATTATTAAAAGTTTCTGATTCTAAAAATTTTGAAGAAAAAAAAAAAGATATTGTGAAGAATGCTAGTAACCAAACTATTTTGGTGCCCATTAAAGCCCAATTTATACTTCTGCATCGAACTCACGCTGTAGCTGCACCGTAGGCTGTGTGTAGCCCTTCGGCATACCTGACGTGCACCTTCCCCAAAATGTAACAACGCGCCAATTCTACGCATACCGCAAGCGCTGTGATTGGTCTGCTAGAACCGCTCCCCAGGTTTCACATTCTCCCTCTGCATGTGTAATTGCGCGTCAATGCGGGCAACGATGCAGAAGTATAAATGAAAACCAACGTGCAGTCTATAGCATAGAGGCTCCGCCGTAAGGCCGACGCAGAATTATAAATCAGCTTTAACTTCCATTGTATGGACAGAAAAAAAGACATTTCTCAAATATGTTCTTTTATGTTCCACAAAAGAAACTCACACAGGTTGTGGCAGTGTGAGTAAATAATGATAATTTTAAGTCATAAGTAATTTTCTCAACTCAAATTAGCACCATTAAGTTTTATTCTTACTGTAATTATTAATAAGATGGTGAAGTCATACAATAATTGTCCTGTCCTGATGGTTCAATGTGTGTATGCTTGCAGGTAATTGCTGATTTAGAAGAAGAGAAACGACGGCGTGCTCAAGACGCTGCTGCGGATGATGACATCACTGCCATGCTAGAGGCGGAACGAGACAGACTATTGCAACAGGTAACCAGGCAACGCCAAAAACACATATACACATGCACACATCTTAAACTGCAAAATGAAAGCAACCATGGCTAACTGTGCCAGCAGATTTTGTGTGTCTCTGTTGTGTAACAATGTTAGTGCAGGTCTCTGTTCTAAAGAGGAAAGGCTCCTTTGTTTTTATGGAGTCCGTCCGTCTATGTGTGTGTGAAGACAATCCATTGTTTGTTTATGTTTTTATAGGGTTAGGATTAGGTGATGTTATGGTCAAAGTACAAACTGCAGTATTATGTAAAAAGCCCTTCCTGCCCTGCCCTGGTTTTTTTTTTCTTTCTCTGGATGCTTGGCCATGTCTCTCACACATTCTGCAGCTCATAGGGGCCTGAAGTGCTTCCCCTGCAGTGAGAAACCTTGCTTATTTAATTAACTTTTATGTTACAGCTATAAGTAAACACACAGACATGTGATAGAACAATATAAAAAATGCTTGTTGCTTGATATCCTCTAGAAAAGGGGTGTCCAATCCTGCTTCTGGTGGGCCACTGTCCTGCAAAGTTCAACTCCAACTCCAAATAAACACACCTGAAGCAACTAATCAAGGTCTTACTAGGCATACTAGAAAATTCAAGGCAGGTGTGTTGAGGAAAGTTGGAGCTAAACTCTGCAGGACAGTGGCCCTTCTGGTCCCTGGTCTAAAACAATAGTAGGGGAGAGCGGGGCACAACCTAACGCTTTTTGGTTTTGGCTCAATTAATTAAAAAATAATTAGGTTAGATTAATACTTTTTTTTTCACAAGCAACATGCACATCTCTGCTACAAATGAACACTTAAAGTTTTTTTCTAGGACCTACCATTTTCGTACAGTTGCACTGAAAGTGACAGAAGTGCAAATGTTACAACTTACCCCATATGAGGGGTTAATTGTAACAGATAGAGGGGTTAGTTGTAACACTTGTGTGTAACACACATAATTCAGTACTATTTTAATTGTATAGTTTGATATTGTTTGCATTTTTCACGTGTCTTTACTTTACTTAAGTAGAATAAATAGCGCATACTTTTTACTTTTACTTTGTTACATTTTGCAGCAATTATTATACTTTCTACTCCACTAAATTTCTACAAATTCTGTTACATTTTCATTACATTTGCTGATCAGTTTTTCTCCTGCCAAAACGTAATCTGGCCGTCCGTCCGTTGCACATTTGTCTCACCAGTGACGTTTGGTTGCCATAGAGCCTCCATTTTTGCACTCAGGTCTAAGTCCCATGGCCCTCTATCAGAATCCAGAGTTTCAAGAAGATTGGAGAAACGTATTTTTTCGCACAAAAAAAAAAAAGTCAGGGGTAACACTGTCATTTTTTTTTTTTTTTTTTTTTTGGGGGGGTCGAAATTTAAAGTTTCTCTGATCTTCTTGAAACTCTGGATTCTGATAGAGGGCCATGGGACTTAGACCTGGGTGCAAAAATGGAGGCTCTAGACCCTTCCAGAGTAGCATTTATGCCTACCATGTAGCATTTATGCCATTATAAATATCTCAATATCTCAGCTCTGGAAGGGTCTAGAGCCTCCATTTTTGCACTCAGGTTTAAGTCCCATGGACTTCTATCAGAATCCAGAGTTTTAAGAAGATTGGAGAAACTTAAATTTTCGCCCAAAAAAAAACGTAAGGGGTACCACTGTCGTTTTTTTTTTTCGGGCCGAATTTTTGAGTTTCGATATCTCAGCTCTGGAAGGGGCTAGAGCCTCCATTTTTGCACTCAGGTCTAAGTCTCATGGCCCTCTATCAGAATCCAGAGTTTTGAGAAGATTGGAGAAACTTAAATTTTCGCCCAAAAAAAAAACGTAAGGGGTACCACTGTCGTTTTTTTTTTTCGGGCCGAATTTTTGAGTTTCGATATCTCAGCTCTGGAAGGGGCTAGAGCCTCCATTTTTGCACTCAGGTCTAAGTCTCATGGCCCTCTATCAGAATCCAGAGTTTTGGGAAGATTGGAGAAACTTAATTTTTCGCCCAAAAAAAAAAAAAACGTAAGGGGTACCACTGTCGTTTTTTTTTTCGGGTCGAATTTTTGAGTTTCGATATCTCAGCTCTGGAAGGGTCTAGAGCCTCCATTTTTGCACTCAGGTCTAAGTCTCATGGCCCTCTATCAGAATCCAGAGTTTTGGGAAGATTGGAGAAACTTAATTTTTCGCCCAAAAAAAAAAAACGTAAGGGGTACCACTGTCGTTTTTTTTTCGGGCCGAATTTTTGAGTTTCGATATCTCAGCTCTGGAAGGGGCTAGAGCCTCCATTTTTGCACTCAGGTCTAAGTCTCATGGCCCTCTATCAGAATCCAGAGTTTTGAGAAGATTGGAGAAACTTAAATTTTCGCCCAAAAAAAAACGTAAGGGGTACCACTGTCGGTTTTTTTTTCGGGCCGAATTTTTGAGTTTCGATATCTCAGCTCTGGAAGGGGCTAGAGCCTCCATTTTTGCACTCAGGTCTAAGTCTCATGGCCCTCTATCAGAATCCAGAGTTTTGGAGAAGATTGGAGAAACTTAATTTTTCGCCCAAAAAAAAAAACATAAGGGGTACCACTGTCGTTTTTTTTTTCGGGCCGAATTTTTGAGTTTCGATATCTCAGCTCTGGAAGGGGCTAGAGCCTCCATTTTTGCACTCAGGTCTAAGTCTCATGGCCCTCTATCAGAATCCAGAGTTTTGGGAAGATTGGAGAAACTTAAATTTTCGCCCAAAAAAAAACGTAAGGGGTACCACTGTCGTTTTTTTTTTCGGGCCGAATTTTTGAGTTTCGATATCTCAGCTCTGGAAGGGGCTAGAGCCTCCATTTTTGCACTCAGGTCTAAGTCTCATGGCCCTCTATCAGAATCCAGTGTTTTGGAAGATTGGAGAAACTTAATTTTTCGCCCAAAAAAAAAAACGTAAGGGGTACCACTGTCGTTTTTTTTTTCGGGCCGAATTTTTGAGTTTCGATATCTCAGCTCTGGAAGGGGCTAGAGCCTCCATTTTTGCACTCAGGTCTAAGTCTCATGGCCCTCTATCAGAATCCAGAGTTTTGGGAAGATTGGAGAAACTTAAATTTTCGCCCCAAAAAAAAAAACGTAAGGGGTACCACTGTCGTTTTTTTTTCGGGTCGAATTTTTGAGTTTCGATATCTCAGCTCTGGAAGGGGCTAGAGCCTCCATTTTTGCACTCAGGTCTAAGTCTCATGGCCCTCTATCAGAATCCAGAGTTTTGGGAAGATTGGAGAAACTTAAATTTTCGCCAAAAAAAAAAACGTAAGGGGTACCACTGTCGTTTTTTTTTCGGGCCGAATTTTTGAGTTTCGATATCTCAGCTCTGGAAGGGGCTAGAGCCTCCATTTTTGCACTCAGGTCTAAGTCTCATGGCCCTCTATCAGAATCCAGAGTTTTTGGAAGATTGGAGAAACTTAATTTTTCGCCCAAAAAAAAAAACGTAAGGGGTACCACTGTCGTTTTTTTTTTCGGGTCGAATTTTTGAGTTTCGATATCTCAGCTCTGGAAGGGGCTAGAGCCTCCATTTTTGCACTCAGGTCTAAGTCTCATGGCCCTCTATCAGAATCCAGAGTTTTGGAAGATTGGAGAAACTTAATTTTTCGCCCAAAAAAAAAAACGTAAGGGGTACCACTGTCGTTTTTTTTTCGGGCCGAATTTTTGAGTTTCGATATCTCAGCTCTGGAAGGGGCTAGAGCCTCCATTTTTGCACTCAGGTCTAAGTCTCATGGCCCTCTATCAGAATCCAGAGTTTTGGGAAGATTGGAGAAACTTAAATTTTCGCCCAAAAAAAAAAACGTAAGGGGTACCACTGTCGTTTTTTTTTTTTCGGGCCGAATTTTTGAGTTTCGATATCTCAGCTCTGGAAGGGGCTAGAGCCTCCATTTTTGCACTCAGGTCTAAGTCTCATGGCCCTCTATCAGAATCCAGAGTTTTGGGAAGATTGGAGAAACTTAATTTTCGCCCAAAAAAAAAACGTAAGGGGTACCACTGTCGTTTTTTTTTTTCGGCCCAAATTTTGAGTTTCGATATCTCAGCTCTGGAAGGGGCTAGAGCCTCCATTTTTGCACTCAGGTCTAAGTCTCATGGCCCTCTATCAGAATCCAGAGTTTTGGGAAGATTGGAGAAACTTAATTTTTCGCCCAAAAAAAAAAACGTAAGGGGTACCACTGTCGTTTTTTTTTCGGGCCGAATTTTTGAGTTTCGATATCTCAGCTCTGGAAGGGGCTAGAGCCTCCATTTTTGCACTCAGGTCTAAGTCTCATGGCCCTCTATCAGAATCCAGAGTTTTGGGAAGATTGGAGAAACTTAATTTTTCGCCCAAAAAAAAAAAACGTAAGGGGTACCACTGTCGTTTTTTTTTTCGGGCCAAATTTTTGAGTTTCGATATCTCAGCTCTGGAAGGGGCTAGAGCCTCCATTTTTGCACTCAGGTAATGGTAAA